GGAAAGCTCCAGATCAACTATTCAATGGGCAAAAATATATTCAATGTGCTGTGGTATTTTTGATTTAAACATGACTTAAAGGTCACCTACCATGCTATTTTTAGGCAATAGCATGGGTCTCAGATATATAAAAAAACATGTCTATGAAGTGTTTTGCTCAAAATACCAAACATCACCCATTCTAGCCATGCCTCATATCCTTCTATTTCACTTCCTGTTTCAAAAGTGCTGATTTGATGTATAAAGCTTTAAAAAAAAAAAAGAATTGATAAAAAAGAGGGGCGGAGCTTGTGCTTGCTCATGCAGGAGATTCTACCGACAGATACTGCCGTGATGAAACGCCATATCATGGATTATCCAGGATTATTTCTGAAACAGTATGGAGCTCAAAGGCTTTCTCTCTTGCCGGTTATACCACAAGGTGAGTTCCTTTGTATTTCCTGCTTCTTCACACACATGCTCTCCAGTACAGGTTAGCTCTGAGTGTTAGCAATGCTAATGTAAACACCGACCATATTACGTCCAAAACAGTCGGGCATTGTTTCTGATAGCAACGTTTCTGATAGTGCCGTGGGTCCGCATTGCCGATATGACGTCAAATCGCCACAAATCTGGATCAGCTCCGTTGTACCCCCGTTTTTAGAGATTTGGGTACGGAGGAAAAGAGAGAGGGTTTTATTTTCTGACGCTGCGTGAGTTCCCCGACACACCGGGGACACATGTTTATGTATAAAAGACATCAAAAAGTGCATTTTGCATGATAGGTCCCCTTTAAACAGTGAATTTATTCTCGCAATTGTACACAGGATAGATATTTTTGCCAAGTATCTTATCAACAAAAAGCCAATCTCTTAGCACAACATGTCCTGATCATTTCGTCAAATTTTTCCATGAGATAAAACACACTACACCTGCAGTACAGAGTGCAAACCACAGAGTATACATCAACAGGTGTCTGAGGTTATTAAGGCACGCCGTTACGAATACAGGTTACAGTTTCTGCGTTTTAATGACCAGTTTATTGCACAACAGCAGCATGGCAGAGGCCAAAACGACCCTCAAGGGCATATTTGCTCAAAAGCACGCCTTCAATTCACAGCAGTAAATAAAGGAGGCAGGACTTTGATGCCTGTGCTGGTTGTGTACCATCTCAGGAACCTGAACTCTTTGACATGGGTACGGTGAGATAAAGCACAAAACAAACAATAAATATCTTAATAGAAATACAATAGAGACTCTGCACTTTTTCATAGCATTCTGCACAAGTCAAAGGTTAGACGAAAGTTGGAGAATCTCAGGTATGTTAACGGACTGTGCGATAACAGGCCAGAGATAAAAGTAGCGTTTTATGGCCCAAAATGAAAATGCACAACAGATTTCATTAGACAGAATTGTATTTAATAAAAGAGAATGCAGTGACTTCAAATACCACAAACTCCTCATTAAAACATGCGTATGAGGCTGTGAGGATGTGTTGTTTCGGCCCAGTTTAAAACCCAGTGAGGTTTATTCTTGGCTGGAGGAGTTTTTAGTTTCACACGAGTTGCGCGCTCATTAGTCTAATGAACGTTTTGGCAGGAGGTCGATGACAGGAGGCCTACAATTAATCTAGAGCTGGCATGCCACCTCCTCACTCCTAATGAGTCATGTTGTCACACTCAACCTCAGCATGATCCTGCCTCTCAGAGTCTGAAACACCAGTCAGGTTTCGAATTGAGAAGCTGGTGATTATGAAACGCAGGTGTGTGTTGTGCAGCCCACACATTTGCATCACACCACATACCAACATCCATTTCATCATAGTCCAAGTAATATTATCCAACATGTCTGCACAAGTGTTACTGACCTCACTGTTAAAGAACTGCAGCACACTTTAGGGTGTTGTTTGAGCTGTACAGTATCTGATACTACTTACTGTTAACACTGACATCTCTCAACACATTTAAAAGTAAACAGGCATTTTTACGTGTTAAAAATAGCTCAAAGTGGGATTTACTGAACCTTGCAAGGAAAATGCAGTTGGGACTTATCTATGTCATCAAATGTATAATTTATCAAACAGATAGCACACGTCCTTTAATCAGAAACCAGTGGATGTCATTAAGCAAATCTGCCACACACAATAATGATGTGGCGTCTTGTTTGTTCACATTAACACACAGCAAAGGTAAAATAGGGATGTGTTGGTTTGGGTTGAGATAAAAGGCTAAACATCTCCACACAGACATCAGAGTGGTATTGATCCTCCAAGTGAATAAGTGCATTTCCCAGAATGAACAACTCCTTCAAGGACTGAACTCTAACTGCAAAGCCAAAACTAATGACATGATCATTTATTAGTGGCATTTAAGAATAAGTGAAATTACTTTTTATCCCCACAACTGGACAAAAATCTGTCTATTGAACCAGGCTAGCGGGTTCCACCTGTTTCCAGCCTATGCTAATCTAATGGCACATTTCCACTGCAGCGGGGTAGCCCCGTTTAAGCGTCCCTAAGCGTCCTCGCTCAGGCCTCGGGCTGCCTCGCTGGCCGTCCGAGGCCGTGGCGCATTTCCATTACAGTTTAGGACCTGGGGTAGCAACAGGTAGCAACGCAGTGTTCGGTCGAGCTCCCGCTGGATTTTATCATCCCCAATGAGATGTAGGAACGTCGTCACCTCCTCCTCGGTCGACCACGGTGTACTTTTCTTTGACGTTGCCATTTTTGTAGCTCCTCCGTTTACAAAAATGTTGTGTATAAAAATGCTGCAAGCTTGCTTCTAGATATATATGCGACGCTAGGGATGATCTTGCGCGCGATCTTGTGACGATTCTCTCTGACCAATCAGCAGTCGAGAGTGTTGACGTCACTAGTTCAGCCCTGGCCTGATAGAACCACGATTTTATGGGGCCGGCAAAAGAGGGAAAAAGTACCCGCTAGCCGGTGCTACGCTGTATGGAAAGGCCACCAAAAACTGGCCTGGCCGCTTGAGGACGATTAAGGACGCTTAAACGGGGCTACCCGCTGCAGTGGAAATGCGCCATAAGATAACCACCTCCAGCTCTGTTCTTAACACACAGACATGAGGAGGAGAGTGATATCATTCATCTCAAATAACTCTCACAAAGAAAGCAGAGTACATTTATGTTCCAAAATGTTGAGAAATTCCCCTTAATATATTATATTGCTTATGTTGGTGGTGTCTCTCCGCAGCTGCAGTTTGAGCTATTGTTAAAACAGAGTATTTTCAGAAATCAATTCATGAAATATAAGCAAAAAAATGTAATATAAAAACATATTTTGGAAGCTGTTTTTTTAAGTCATAGCTTGATTGGATTAAATCAGATTTAGATCAGCACAACACAATATGGCCATAAAACATTTAAATTGAATTCTTGACATAACAATGTGTAACTTCTCCAGATCAAACTAACGGCCTGCGGCTGTTCAAGCGATGCCATACTGAGAGCCTGTTGGCACATAATCCTAATCCACCCACTGTTTCACTTTCCACATGTGTTGACCATTAGACTCGGGTCATTAAACACAGAGCTCTCAAACTGATTTTCCTTTTGTCTTTAGTTTGTTTACGTCCTCCTAGACACAAGTGGGCAAAAACAATGAGTCCAAACCATCTGTTGAACTGTTGGACGGACGGTAGAGCCACCCGCATAGACACATAATGGAGTCATTAATGAGGTGTTGTGGACATGAAGAGGACCCTAACTAAAAGGGGTACACAGAAAATATTCAAGATATTATTTATGCTGATGACACAGATGGAGATCAATTTGAATATGTATTCATTTTTTGTTAGTTTTGTCGGTAGGATGCAACAACAAAACTATAGAAAACGACCATGACTGGTTCCCAATGTGACATATTCAGATTGTTTTGTCAAACCAATAATTAGAAACCAAGAGATATTTCATTTGCAGTAGATAAGATGGAAAAGATCCAATCTTTTCCTCAAGAATAACTCAGCATATTATTATAATGGTGACAGTTTACGTGCATGACAGACATTTATTGTCAATCAACGTTTTTAAAAACGTTATGAACCCTACAATTAATTAAGAGAGGGGACTATGGATACAATTAAACCGAGATTAATTTAGAGCAGATATGATTAATGCAGATTAATATCTATCAATCTGCAGATTAATCACAATAACATTATCGTTAGACACAGCCCTGCTTTTTTTATAATAATGATAGAAGTATAGAAAAGTTGAAAAGTTGAAACAAGCATTTCTGCTTGATAAATAAACTAATGTTTAAACTAAACTGTTGTACTGTTATGGATGCATTTCAATCAAATGATCCACTCAATAACTAATTCAACTGGTTTCCCCTGTGCAATATGAATCTTTGAGTTATTTCAGTCGTTAATCTAGGTTTTTACAGACTTTTGTGGACGATTACTAAAAGTAATATGATTCAGCGGTTTATAAAGTGAGATGTGGGGAAGCTTCAGACATCCTACATATACTGTCAAGAACAGGCTGGTTTTTTCAATGTGTATAAACCAGCAATTAACAGTTTCAGTCACTTGAATAATAAGTGAACATGTCTCTTTTATAACTGTAAACTGATTATATTTAGGATCTGGACTGTTTTTCTTAAACAGACATTTCCTGGGAAACAGTAATACTTATTTTCCAGTCTTCTGACATTTTACACCCAAAACAACCGATTGAATAATCCTTATCCGTGTTAAAAAAGTTGTGTCAGTGAGGAAGAGGTCATTCAGAAAAGGGATTTTAATTAGTTTCACTAGCAGAAACAGGTGTGCAATTGTGCACCTGCTCATAAAACAACACACAATCTGATGGGTAAACGTGTGCAAGTTAAACGACCACTAAAGAAGCTCGTTTGTCTGTATGACCTTGATAAGAAAGACATGCATATTAACCTTATTACTGCCAGCACAAAACTATCCTTCACACACAACACACACACACACACACACGCACTCGTGAAACCTGAGTGTGTTTCCTGCCCGGGGACAGGAGGCTGTGCAGCCGCATGGCAGAGCTGCACGCCGGGAGAGAGAAGCTGGAATAAAGCTGTCAGGGTGTCAGCAACACAAACCGATAACACTGTCACTGCGGAGCCACACAGCAGAACACCGACTCACTGCAGGACTTCACCCCGAGTAAACTCACCTTTGAGACGGTCATATGGTGGGGAGGCGTCGGCAGGTGGCGGAGGATTCCCTGGAGGAGCCGGTGAGGAGCAGCGGTGGAGACGAGTTTCCTTTATAATAATGATCGAGGTTGTTTTTGCATGGTGGTCATTTAAAAAGTCATGATGCATGAGGCTCGACCTTGGAAGTCGTTCAAATTTAAATATTATTTAAAAATAAAAAGTAGCTCACAGACAGAGCATGTCCCTGCAGAACACACCGCACAGTCACCGTGAAAAAAAGAAAACAAGAGCCCGGGGGGAAGGAGGGGAGAGGGGGGTAGGGCGGAGGGGGTGGAGGATGAGGAGAGATGCGAGGACAGGATGCAGGAGGGAGGGGCGAGGCGTCAAGGATGATGATGACAACAACCATAATGTAGGATGTCATAAAAGAGAGAAATATCTTAGTGCAAATAGAAACTGATTTCCCCAATAAAGTAAAAGTTAAACTTGATTTAATTTGCAATCTTTATATATAAATGTTTAATCTCCACCAGTGATGTTAATGTGCATTCTGAAAAAAGCATTATTTGTATTATTAATTAATATTATTATTGCTTTTATTTTATTTTGGGTTATGCCTTTTATGGATTCTTTATTATTCTATTTCATTTATTCTATTATTTGTATTGACTTTTTTATATATATATAGTTTGTTGTTATTTTCAATTCAATACATTGGAGTGTAGAATTAGTTTGTGTTTAATTCTATATACACATGAATAATTAAATGTGTTGCTATTATTATCTTAATGGCTTCTTTGTTTGCACCTTTGCATCTAAATTATTGTTGTTTTTTATTTCAGAACAAGAAACCTCAACAACAAACTGATACACTCTCTGAACATTGGAATTGCCCCAGGGTTTTTAATTTCTAGGAAATGGTATTCACAACCTTATCTGACCTACTTGATATTAAAGTGCCACATTGTCCAAAGCTGCTCTTGTTGAATGAAACCCCCTTTAAAGATGACAGTATCACAAATGCTAAATGTGAAACAACCATTGGCGCCTTGGACTCCACCAGGTCAGAGTCCCTGTTTTAACATTGTAACGCAAATCATATACAAATAAAACCAAACAGTTTATCTTCGCATGTCAACCACTTGTGATGTAATCCTTCATTTAGTTGCTGGGGAGCATGGGGTTTTAAAGCTGATTTGTTTGTGTATGTTGTTTTTTCAAAATGTAAATGTTGATTAAACAAACAAACAAATCAAACTAGCTGCTAATTTGTGCCTGAATATGGACAAATAAAAACCAGCTAACCTGGAGCACAGAATACTGATGTGCAGCAGTGAAGCTTTCAAGTATGGACTGTATTTGACAGGTGCTTGAAGGCAACACGGTTCTCAGACAGGCCAGAATTGCCGAAAGGCCCTGATGTGTTCACTGCACAACACATAGTACAGTATGCATAGATTCAAACAGATATAGAGGACTTATGTTGAGATAACAACATTTACATTATAAGCCACCAGGTGAGAAACATTACGTTGTAAAAACGTTGTCACTTGCTCTAATAATTGAGTATTGAAGCCCAAACTGTAACACACTTTTTTAAAGTAATGTCAAATGAGTTTCAGGTATCTTTTAAACAATTGTAGCACCAGCTTGTTTCGATCCCTCTTGCATTCCTCATATGATATTTTAAAGGGGCCCAAGAAAGTAATTTTGTTAGAGATAGTGCACATCTGAGGCTGTGTGTTGCCCCCTAGTGTTGAAACACAGCCATCACAGGAGGATCCATGACAGCAGAGGGACAGTTTATCATTTCACTTATAAAGAAAGAATGACATTAAACTGTGACAAATAACATTGTTTCATTTTCATTAATAGGAAGCAGGCGTGTTTCAATTGAAAACGTTGGTTAATTTGATTTACAAATCTTTGGCTGAGAATAAAATAGCCATAACATTTAACATAATAAACTATTAGTAATGATAACGACTTCAGACTTGATTCAGCCGATAATCTTCATCAGGGAACATCATGTGTCTTTTCATTGCCTTTTCTGATTGCATTGCATCACTAGTCTTTCCGTCTCTTTTTAAATCTTTGCTCAATATATGTTATCTTGAGTCTCTTCGTAATCTTTTTACATCTTATTTATGTTTTTTTTTGTCTCTCTTTGGATGTTTTGTTTATTGTTGTGGTCATTGTGTATTGTTTGTGATTTCTCACCAAGAAATGTGAGGAGATTCTTTAAACAGCCACTCTGGCTTGTGGCCCCCTCTTCACAGCAGACCCGTTCAGTAAACTGCTCCTCTGTGTCTGTCCTGTGCAAGGAGTTTATCAAGAACTGCAGTCACTTCCTGTCCGAGCCTCAGGTGCTGTGTTCACCTCAGAAAATGTATGTAACCTTATTTACAGAAGCTTCTTCATTACTGCTTGTCACTCACAAATTCAACAAACTCGTCTTCTCGAGACGTCATGTTTGTGAGCATAGAAAGTGTTTTGCAGGTCAACTTTCTGGCTAGATTTGGACACGGCCACAGCAGGGGATTAATACATTTACAATGAATTCCTTCACAGTGAAAAACAAGTTCCCCATTTGTTCAAACTGCTGCGCCTCGTCATCTGGGCAGGGCTGCAGGAAGGAGATGTTTTTCAACAGGAGTTTTCAGACTCTAGGCGTGGTTTTCCTGAACCAGGTGGGAATTATGTAATCTGTCTCAGGGGTCGTAGTTGAACTGCTTGGACAAGCTTTTTCGGCATTTAATGAGCACAATTCTTCATGAACAGTTGCAGTTTTTCTTATGCAGTCTTTATGTGCATTAACAGAAACCCATTTCTCAGAGGAGCTTTTTTTAATGAAAAATGTGAGACTGAAATCTATATTTTCGAAAATCCCGACTGGCCCTCTTTAAGGTTATACTTTTTTAAGATGTTGAGGCCTTTTGGAAAATGTGGAAGCATGTAGGGGGGGCAGGGAAGGCTACGCAGTACGCAGGCTATACTGTCCCGCAGCTGCTGCCTCTCTGTTGGACTCCGGTACTGCACATTACTCGAGACGTTTAAAAAAAAAAAAAAAAAAGAGTGGGGGGCGAACGCACTAACTAGGCCTACTCCACCAGCGCCACAGCGCGTGTCGGATGAGAATGTCTGGCGTGCCACATTTGGCCCGCGGGCCGCCAGTTGATGGTCACTGTAGGGTAAATCCTCACCGTTGGTGATTGTATTATTTTCAAATGAAATATTATATAACATATTTCCTCATGTGGTTATTTCTTGCCAAAATATTTAAATGAAAGGTTGGAAATCATTTGTTCGATGTTTTTTTCCCTTTATTCCAACACAAGTCAGTGTTCTTGTAGTGAATCCCCTAAAAGTGTAGTTCAAGTGCCGGAAGTTGGCTCTAAACACAGACTTTTATGCTCAACTCATTTAGATATTTCGAGATATTTATTGTTTCTAGAAACAATCCGTTACGCATGTTTTTCTCACAGATCAATTAGAAAAGTTTGTCTTTCTTTTGTTAAAATGAACAATGAAAGAAACATTTTTAAATAACCAAATAAAGTATCTTTCTGGTATTTTCTGTCAGGGATCATAACCAGCCAAGACATTGTTTGTAAGTGAATGACAATACCAGAAAGATATCATATTTGTTTTAATTTGATACCTATTTATAGACATGTACTTATCTGCCCTTCATATCAGACATCAATCATTCTAAAATACAAACACATACGTCTCTTTGTGGATTTAGTAAAATTTAATTTATCTACAATTATCCCTCCATTCAGACCGATAGACTCTTTATTCATTTCAATGTGGCTCATAAACTGATAAGTTACACAATATAATACAGAAGCTGGATGCCAGTACTGGACAAAAAGTTGCAAAAATATCTCCTTTTTTTTGTCTTGACGTGTTTTCTGTCAGTGTTTTGCAGCATATTGTAGGTTCTGTCGTTAAAGAGAAATAAACATAATGAAATATAGTAGAAATGATGGGAGTGAAGATAAATTCAGCGAGCAGCACAGTGCCACGTTGCAGCTGAGCCTAAACTGTATGGCAATGATAAAATGAGAATAATATTTAACCTCTTTATTTTACCTCTTTGCTACATTTTAAATCCTTCTCTCTGAATTTTACTCATGACGTGTATTAATAATTACTTAGCGTCTATTTTCTTGTGATTACAAACTATATGAAAATACATTACAATAAACACAAGACTGGTAAAATCCATCACAAACTGACAGTAAAAGTAGCAGAGATGAATGCACTGACATCTCTTTGCTGTCACTGAAAACTGAACCAGTGGAAAAAATAACTAACATGTGACAGGAAGTAAAAGAAAGATGAAGATAGCATGGCAGCCGGAGGGGAGGAACTGCTTCAATATATTAGTCCTATTCTTCAGTTTCTCAGCTGTGTTTCTGCACAGTTCTTTTTTCTGCCTGTTAACAGACAAATATTCCCATCTCTCCTTTTGCTTTTTCTTTCAGTGTTTTCACTCTAGTCCTCGTCTTCATCATCGTCTTCTTCATCGTCGTCTGTTTGGTCCCTGGCGTCTAGATCGTCTTCATCGTCCACCTGTGAGGACAGAGTCACAGTCTAACTATAGCAAACACTCACGTCACAGCTGAGAGGACAACACAGTCACAAAATTAATCTATTGATTCGTGTTCACGAACACGATTTTCGCTTTTTTTTCGTGTCACACAGAACGATTTTAAAAGCAATGTAAATAATAACAAATTAGAAGGAAAAACAGATAAAAAAAATACAGATTTCAGTATTCTGACACAGAACGATTTTAGAAGCAATGTATTTATATTGGTAGTATGTTTCCTGCCTGCACCAAATAATAACAAATTAGAAGAAAATAAAAAATAAATACAGATTTCAGTATTCTGAGGCTTTGAGCCATTTCTTTTCCTCACGGACGGCAAAAAGACTCCGACATTATACAATTTAAAATAAAAGGGATAGGGTTCCTCCACCCCTTTTCACCTCCTGTCCCTCTGAATCCAGGGTCAAGCTAAGCCACTCCCCTTTAGACCGGACCTATCTATCTATTCACCACCACCAGTGTCTAGACTCCGGGGGGGTTTCATCTGATCGGTTCTCCCCTCCCGAATGATACTCCTGCACAACGGGGCCTAATCACCAAAACTCCATTACATTCATTTGTGTATTCCTAGCAATAAATATGTATTCTTACATGAAAACCGTCTCTCCTGATTGAACATAAGTTATAATCATTTGGACGAGATCGTGGATGTAAAATGAGGTTAACAAGTGGGTCATTTTCATTTAATTTACTGGTGTCCACAATCTAAATTTCAGCAGTAAAAATCAAACATGTCGATTCATTAAGGATCAAACAATCAACGTTACCTGGAGAAAGTTGAAGTTTTAGGCTTAGTGTGATTACTTGTCACTAGTATACGTCAGGTTATTTCTATTTGTTTCATATTATTTATCTCATGTATATTACTTGCTTGTGTAGGAAACCTTCATCCTGATCAGGTTTAGATGAATGACTCTCCACAGGAATAAAGCCTTGTAGCACTTACAGTATAAGACGGTGAGTTTAAACTGTTGATAATTGTAGATAAATATAATTCTGATGGTGTACCGGTTCTCCCAGGGCTTTGAGCTTCTGCTTGAGGCTGTGGATCTTCTGGTCCTGGTCGGCCAGCAGCATCAGAAGGTCGTCCTGCTCCTTCTTCGACTCCTGCACCTCCGTCTGCAGCTGGGCCTTCTCCGTCTGCAAGATGGCCGCCGTGCTGGTGGCTGCGGCCAGCTGCTGATCCAGATCCACCCGGCTCTTTGACAAACTCTTCGACTCCTCCTGGAATGAATGATGAGAGAATAATCCATAAATACAAACAATGGGAACCTGACTCTGGAGAAAAAGCTTATACTTTGGGAAAGATGAGAGCCTGACATTTATTGTTTATTATTGACATTTTGGTTTTAGCTGACTGGTTTTTTTTGTAGTAATATTAGAAGTCAACCCCGGGCGCCTTTCAAAATGGCAGCACACTGCTCCTAACACAGGATGGGTCAAATGCAGAGAAAAAATGTCCCCACGGGGATTAATAAAGTATATCAAAATCAAATAAAATCAAAATTGGTCGAGGT